TCCCACAGCATATCCCCAATTTATTCTGCAGTTAGATTGTGTTTTGTGTGGTCTTGAATCACAGCAAGGGAAACTGCACTATCTGTTTTCAGCTGTCGAGTTCTTTCACCATGGCCGTTGTAGCGTAAAAACCATCCTCAGGCCTCGTTAATTGGTCGTAGCTCCGCCTAATTGCTGGTACACCATGATGTCAACGATCTTTACAAAAATTGTATTTGGTTTCCGACCTGGTAAATGACCGCTGCGCATCCCTCCATTTCGTCAATCCGACTACTGAATATTCACTATGATTATTGTCTCTGTTGTTATTGTATTTTTTATTAGGTTAAAGTTGGGTCTTACAACTTCTGTATTGTTGTTATGTTGTGTTTTGTCTTTGTTTATTGTAGATATTTTGTCCAATTTTTCTGCTTTAGTTGTTCGCTACGTTTATTGCCTCCTTTTTATGTGTTTTGTCTGATTTTTACGTTGATTTTTCTTTTGTTGTCCGTTTTGTTAGATTAAAGTTAGGTCTGCCAATTTCTGTATTGTTGTTCTTTTTTGTCTTTGTTTAGTGTAGATGTTTTGGTCATTCATCTTTATTGTTTTGCGTTTCGTTTCATTTTTCTTTCTTTCTGTGCTTGTTTATTAAGGTAAAGTTGGGAAATATACATTGCCCAGGACAAAAAGTCGAATTACTAGATTAACCCCATTCTCCATTTTTTATACGTCACCACTTTTCTACAATTTAGCAAAAATTTCTGCATTTTGGCTCCACGTAATTAAAGAAAAGGGTATACTGCTTATTAAACGATGAAGTTGTTATGAACTTTGCAAAGCTCTACCGTAATTTTTTCCAACGACGTTGCAATTTATTAATTTTTTATAAATATTAAATTTTGCAGTTTTTGAAAGATTTAGAGTTTATTTTTCTGCCAAACGTTACATTTAAAACTCTAGAAGAATGCCTTCTTAAAGGAAATGTTTTTTTTTTCTTTTTTTTAGATTTCTCCAAACATAAATAGTTCAGGAGCTACGAGTAGATTTATGACAAAAACCGTAGATAGTTGGGGAAAACAAAAAAAAGTTCAATATCTGCGAAATCTTTAAGAATTGAACTATGGTTCGTACAAACTTGTTTGTCGCATTTGAAGTGTAGAAGACCTGGCGAAATTGTTGTACTAGTAATGAATCGCCCTGTATATTTCGTCTCATTTTATAAAATTCTGAATAATTATTTTTATCCTAGGCAAAAAATCGATTATATGTTAACCTGGATATACATCTAAGACAAAAAAAAACCATATTTAAAAATAATATGTAAATTATTTTAAATATTTTTTCTTAGGAAAAGTTCTATAATAGGTTTCTCTTTCGTTTTTTCTTCGTTTTCTAGTGTTCATTGTTACAATATTAAAATATATTATATTTCTTCCTGAACTGCGATAATCGTTTTGGTGTAAAACTGCTCAAATGAAGTGCGTCCCATTTCTAATATTTTTTATTATGTTTTTTTCTGAAAATTGTTATCTTAAGAAAGCGAAATATCACAGTGTACTGCTTTGTGAACACTATTGCCATAAGTTGTGTACATAATTTGTTATATCTCTCCGTTGTGTGACGAGGGTGTCCGTTTAAACTGTTTGATGAATCAGTCATCTGGATGATGGGCACACGCTATCTGGTGAAAATATCAAATTAACTCATATTGGAGGTAATGAGAACTAAAGTATTCAAAGCTAGGATTTCTCTCTTGGCCAACAATAAAAGTACACCTTTTTTACTAGGCGGCATAAGACTGATAACATAGATAGATAATTGGCCCGATATATACAACTGTATAAGTTTAATAAAAAAAGAGAAAATAAAACAACTGCCAAATTAGCTGAGGAGGAGCTTGAAACGGCCTTCCGAACCAAATGAAAGATTGCACAAAATAAGAGATTCAATAAAAAAGTGGGGAAAAACTGTCAAATTAGTTGTGGAAGAGTTCAGGTGAGCTCCAAAAGGCCTTCCCAACAAGTTCAATGAAAAAGGAGAAAAGACAAAACTGCCTAAATGGCTGAAGAGCTCAAAACATCCTCCCAACCAATCGTGAAACAAAGAATCTTCAAAAAAAGGTTGTGAAGTCCAACATGAAAGGATGAAAGAAAAATCTACTAAATAGTCTACGAAGGAGCTCAGGGATGCTCAAAATGTTCGTCCTAACCAAACGAAAAACAAAAATTGTATACAAAACGCTATGCAATTCAATATAAAAAGGGAGAAATTACAAAATAGCATAATTGGATGAGGAAGAGCTCAGATTAGCTCGAAAAAGCATTCCCAACCAAACGTGCAACAAAGAATCGGACAACTTATAACTTTAAAATTGTGGACAAGTTCAAGCTCCTTGGCGTCATGTTTGATCGTAAGCTACTATGGAGAGATCACATCAATTACCTGGTTGATTGCGAAAAAGCCATAAACATAATCAGGTGTGTTACTAAAGTTCGCTATGGCTCACACCCTAGCATTGCACTTCTTCTCTATAAAGCACTGGTTCTTTCAAGACTGGATTATGGATCATTATTGTATGGAGATGCTGCACAAATTCATTTGGCTAAATTAGACAAAATCCAGTATAAATCCCTCAGAGTGATCTTGGGAGCTATGAGATCCACGCCAACTAACGCTCTTCAAGTGGAAGCTAAGGAGATGCCCCTCACCCATCGTAGGTTCCTAGTCACAGGTAGATTTTTATCCTCTCGTATGCTAATCGAAAACCACCCCACTGTCCTCCTCATCCGCCAACTTGCTACTGCCTCCAATACCAGCAATTTCTGGCGGAACAAAAAATCCTCCTTGCTATCTACTCTTTTTTTTAAACTTTCCCACTTGATTATCTCTGTTCCTCCAACGTCCAACCACCCGAAGTTCCTCACAAATCAATTTCCACTACTGGTCCCTAACAAATTTGCTATACCCGATCCCCTTTCTATTTCCAACTGGTCCTCCTTCCCTCTATACATTGAGGAGGCATCTGGTAGGGGCTATTGCGAAGAGGCTCTAGCCATTTATTCAGATGGTTCCAAATCCGACCACGGTGTGGGCGCAGCCTTCCATATCCCAGCTAGTTCCTTCTCAAAACAATTCAAACTTTCCCGCATTGCCTCCATTTTCACCGCTGAAGCCCTAGCAACCCTAGAATCCCTAAAATATGCCCAATCAATTAATCCCCATAATCTAATTATCTTTTCCGACAGTCAGAGTGTCCTATCCGCCATTTCCAATATCCACAATTCTAGCCACCCTTTAATATCTCATATATTTAACACCACCATTCAACTAACCAATAGAGGCACCGTAGTGCACATAATTTGGACTAAAGGCCACAGCAACAATAAATTTAATGATGAAGCGGACCGGCTGGCCAAATCTGCGGCCTCCGCTGGCATTCCCTGCTCTATTATCTCCCCTAGAGATCTTAGAGCCCACATAAACAGTTACTGCAGGCAGCACAAAAGGAAAATTTTATAAATTCATCCAACCTATCATTCCTACCTTCCCTTGGTTCCGATCTTACAATAGTCCTCGCCATTCTCTCACCTCTATAATTCGGCTTCGCCTAAACCACAATTGTCTTCCCTCCCACCTCTATAAAATAAATATCCTAGACTCTCCTTACTGTTCCTGCGACCCCTCGTGCATAGCTGATTCCAACCATATTTTACTAGCCGGTCCCAATACCTCCATCAACCGAGAGTCCCTCTACAACACTCTAATTTCTAATAATATCCCCCTTCATACCTCAATATCCGTTATACTCTCTTTTACCTGCAATCCCAAAATAATTTGCTCTCTCTCTAAACTTTTATCCCAAAATAATATAGTAATATAATACAACAAAAGTATACATTTCAATCTTGAAGTTTAGAGACTTGGCCAATATGCTAGACCATAAGGCCCCAAAAAAAAAAAAGAATCGGACAAAAAAAGTTGTGAAATCCAACAAAAAAGGGAGAACGAAAAAACTGTCAAATTGGTTGAGGAGGCGCAGATAGAAGCTAAATGCTAAAAACAAACGTGAAATACACGATGTATAAAAAAAGCTTCGATTGCAATAAAAACGGAGAAAGGAAAAACCTACCCAATTGACTGACTAGGGAGAGTTGAAAAAGGCCTTCCCCACCGTATGTTAAATAAAAAATTTATAATTTCAATTCAAAAAATAGATAGGAAAACTGCCAAATTGGCTGAAGAGGAGATCACGGGAACTGAAAAGGCCTTCCTGACTAAACATGATTTTAAAAAAATGCATAGAAGACTGTGGAAATGCAATAAAAATAAATGAAGAAAAAGTGTTAAAATGGCTGAGGAGGAGCTCGGAGGAACTCGAATGGCCTTTCCAACCAAATATGAATAAGGAATTGAAAAAAGGTTATGACGTTCCATAAAAAATAAATCTCTAATTAAACACCGAATTAAATAAACACCGAAAAAGGATAAAACAACAGTACAATATTACTATTTGTCATAAGAGACAATTTGCTTTTGAAATTAGTCTAAATCTTAAGATATATGATTTTTTTAGTGTAATTTGGTCGTTACCTAGTTTGACCGACCTTTGAAGATATACAGACCAAAATGGTCGGTAACGACCAAATATCAGGTTCACCGTCCCACAGACAATATGGAGAAATCGCCCTTTACTTAACCAAAATTAACAATCGGCCGAAAATAACTGCACGCAATATTTTTAGGTAAACGTTGCAATTTGGTGTATGTAAATGTTTTAGATGATATTATATTGGTTAAACTCTGAAAATTTTTTGTATCCTATTCTTTGACCAAAACAGCAAGAAAAGCCGTCCTTCCAAGAGGAAATCTCACAATATTTATTATTCTAAGACTTTTCCTTAATATTAGGATGCTATAATCAAAGATTAAGCCAATATATGCTGTGGAAAATAGTGAAATATGTTTATGTTCTGTTTATTTGTCAATTCTTTACATATTCACAATTTTTTTTTGTGTTTCAGAATGGAGTGGAAATCATTTGAACCAATATTCACTAAATGACAACTCCACACATTTTAACCCACTTGGAATTAGTGAATTGTCTTCAGAAAGTTATACCAATTGCGGTTCCCATGAAAAAGGGCTGGCGGCCGATATTATAAAAGCAAACTCAAAACCCGACGATGTCGATGTGGATGAAGTTTATCTGAGCTCCGAAATACATGAAACCCGTTTGCCTGTTAGTGACATCCAAGAACAAACCACGGAGACTGATACCACAGAAAATGAGAGCACGGAGGAATACACTACGGAGAAAGTTGTCACAGGAAAAGATTCAACTGAAGAAAATCAGTTGATCAATTTCCTAGAATATTTAAGACTTTTGTTTAACAAGACCGATAGTAATGATACTGGACTAAGTTCGCTAGAAGTCACAAATGATCTAGATACAGAAAATATTTATAGAACCAAAGACCATTCATCTGAAGATAATGATAGTAATAGACAAAATGACCCAGAATATGGAATCTTAGAAGCATCTAAAACAGAAAATTCTGATGAAACAGCTGAAACTAGCGACATCAGCAATGAAAAAGACCATTATCACGCCGCTGCATCTACGATTAAAAAAATTATCGTTTCTAATGGAAACTCTGTCAAAAACGAAGAGAAATCTGAAGAACTAAATTCTGCAAGCTCACAAGTTGATAAGGACGATGGGAAAGAAAAAACAGAGAGTAATGAGAATGTTGAGTCTTCTAAAAAAGAGGAGACACAACAGAGATCCGAAGAAGATAATTTAGAGAATTCTAACCAAAAAGAAGAATTGAATTCTCATCACAGTGTTGACAACTCTGAAGAAAAAAAGAATAATTTTGAAATCGATAGTTTAGTCGCTTCAAAAGAAAAGAATTCTAACGAATTGACTGAAAGTAGAGACAATAGTGAACAAAACGATGACCTTACAGAAAATGAAGAGCCAGTTGATTCTTCAAAAAAAGAAGAAACATCAAATTCTCAGCATAGCGCTGAAACATCTGATGAAGTAACAACATCTGATTATGAAAGCATGATCAAAGGAAATTCTGCTGAATCTGCTGGTATGGCCAAAACAAGCAACCCGAATTATACAAGCGAAGAAAAAGTTCAATATGATATTGCAGTATCCACGAATGTATTATTAAATGAAGGCGATCTTGGAAACAACACCCAAAACGAAGAGAGTTATTTAAATAATAAAAACATAAACGAAGTAAGCAAAACTTATGATCTATCAAAAGAAGAAGAATCATCTCGGCCTGAAGATGGCAATACTGCTTCAGAACATACTAACAAAACAGAAGAATTAAATTCTTATTACATATCTGAATACCCTAAAGAAAAAACAGATCTTGAAATTAATAGCTTAGTCATTTCAGAAAGTTCTGATCAATCGACTAGTCTGGACGAAAATTCTGGCAACGAAAGTAAACAGGAAAATAGCTATAGTGAATTAAAGGAAAAGAATTCTCATGAAGTTAATAAAGAAGAAGACCATTATGCCACAGCAGCATCTACAAATGTATTAAATAATGCTATTTCTAGTGAAAACGATAGTACAAATAATAAAGAGGATTTACACGAAGAACAAAAATTTTCAAGCTCACAAGATGATGGAGAAAGTAAAGCTAATTTTGATTCTCCTGAAGAAGAAACCCCACACGAATCCACAGAAGAAAATAGTATAGAGCATTATAACAGAAAGGAAGAGTTAAATTCCTATAAGAGTGTTGAAACCTCTCAAGAAAAGAATAATTTAGAGACTGCCAATAGTGATATTCATCAATACGATCAATATTATTCAACATCAAGGACAAGCCATAACACAGAAAATCAAGAGAAAGATTTACCCGACGAATATTATTCTGAAAGCTCCAAAAATGGTTACATGGACGATACAGGAAAAAACGAGGAAAGTACAAATGTTTCGAGCGATTTAAAGGAGGAGAATTCCATTGTGATAGTAAACACCAAAGATAACAGCGAAGAAAATTACCATTACGACACAGCAGCATCTTCAAACGTACTAATCGTCCATAAAGGAGAAAACGAACATAAATCCGCAAGCTCACAAGAAGCAAATACGAATGATGATTCTTTGAAAGAAGAACAGACACAGCATGGCTCTGAAGAAGGGTACAATCACTATGGCATAACATCACATGAAAACGATAGCACAAAACGTGGAGACGATCAAAATAAATGCGCAAACACGCATGACAAGAACAAGGACGCTGAAGATTCTTTAATTTCTGGATCTGAAGATGGATACGTTCCCTATGGTACAAGTTGTAATGACAACGATACCACAGAGGATGAAGATGATCAGAATACGTTGTCTGCAAACTCACAAGATGAAAACTCGGGCTACGAAGATGAAACAAGAGAATGCAAAGAGAATGTTGATAGTTCGAATGAAGAAGAGACACAACATGGATCTGAAGAAGGATACCATAAATCTAGCTCAATTTCTATTGAAAACACCGATGATAAAGACAATCAACAAAGCCCTAGCTCACAAGATGAAAACAAGGACAGTAAAGACGAAAAAATAAAGAGTAAAGAAAACATTGATTCTTTGAAAGAAGAAGAACCACAAAGATCCGAAGAAGGAAACAGTATAAAGTATTCTAACGAAAAGGTAGAAGAATTAAATTTTGATCACTTTGGAAACTCTCAAGAAAAAAGGGGTGAATTTGAAATCCATAGTTTAGTCACGTCAAGAGAAATGAATGTTTACAGTAGTAGCAATAACCTGCAAAACGATGACCCTAAATCTAGTAAAAAAGAAAATGAAACGCCTGTTGATTCTTCAAAAGAAGAACAGGTGTCAGAAAACTCTGTAGAAGAAAATGATAGTACAGACGATACGGAAGGAACACAACATAGATTTGAAGAAGACACTTCTAATAAAAACTATAACACCAATAGTGAAAATAATAACGCTAGCATTAGCAGGGAGCCTATAAACGAAGGGACATCTCAGAAAACTCAAGTTCATGACAGTATCGAAACAGAAGAATCAAATTCCAATCACAACGATGGTAAGTCTCATGAAAAAATGGATTTTCAGATCGTTTCAAAAGATTCCAATCATATTGAAACTGTTGCATCTGCAAGTAAATTAAACGTTGCCGCTATTACAAACACCAATGATAACAATTCAGAAGGTTCTCACAATAAACAGGAAATTAGCCTGGATTTTTTAAAAGAGGATAATCGTGAGAAGGATTACAGCCATGCTGCGTCCAACAACGAACTCGTCACAGTGATGTATGTGGCAGAAAATAAAGAAATTATTTCTGACGATACCGACTCGTATCAAACCACACAGGAATTAAACTCAACCGAAGAAATAGAAAGCTGGAGTCCCGACGAACTGACAGTCAAGGAAAATACGGAAGAAAACAAAGAAGGAACTAGCACTGAATATACGAAAGAGGATTTCAACGAAAACGAATCTGTGACAGAAGATGAAACAAATGAGGCGGAGTCATCTGGATCCTTCAGTTTTGCCATTCCAAGGCAGAACTATTTTTCATTTACATTCCCGGACCGGAGAAGGTAGCGATTAATACAAACAATTAGTGAATAAATTTTACCGAGATAATGATTAAACTAAACATGCACAAGTACGATATCAGCTATTCTGTACAAAATATATACAATCTGTCGTAATTAATTTAAATATTTCGTACAAAATTAAGGAGGTTTTGTATTTAAAACAAAAAATCAATATAGGCCGTTATTCCTTCATCCTCCTTCCCACTGTTAAAATTATTATACCTTGTTAATTAAAAACATTGAAATTATATGTAAATAAAAAATTGTACAATTTTAAATATACTGGATTCCCTTCACATATACGTTTAAATTATTTGTTTAATGTTTATGGTTTCTTTTTATTTATTTTTTATACTAAGATTTTTACAACAAGGATTTACTTTATAGATAAAATAACAGACTTAGTTCGTTTCGTGAGAATGTATTTATAAGTGTAGTGCAAGAACGTACGAATACTATGTGCCACATCGACCTACAATTAGTCTAGTTAGTGTGTATACAATTTAAGTACTTTTTTAATGTAGCTTTTTACCTTTGTTGTGCATGTATTTCAAGGTTGTCTTCTTTTAAAAAAAAATGTAAAAAAATCAAATGACTATTCGGAAATCGTGAGATGCGGTCTGGTGTGACGTAGGTTTCAGAAAAACATTTTCTTTATCGTGACATTTCCATCTTTATTGAGATCATCTTCAGGGCCTGGGATTTACAAACATTGTTTACATTTAAAAAATACATGTAGGATGAGGAAAAAATTGAATTTATACAATTAAAATAAATATATATTTTTTACATTCAATCAAAGCATTTCTACTCACTTAAAATGTTTGTTTTCTGTGTAGATGTGTCATTCTTGTGTGTCGTGTTGAGAGTACCAGTGAGATATTGCTGTTTTAGGTACATACACGTTGGATTTTGAAGGGGTGGGGAAGGAAGTCGGGATAGAAAGATATTTTTGTACAAGGCGTCGGCTTCTTTGAGGTGAAAAAAATGGGAAAAATCCTTTCACGATAATCTGGCCGAACCATTACCAACGTTTTTACCATCTAGAGCTATTTTCAACTCAAAGAAGCTGACGCCTTATACAAAAATTTCTTTCTATCCCGAATTCCTTCCCCACCCATTCAAAATTCAACGTGTATATACTTAAAACAGCAATATCTCACTGGCACTCTCAACACGACACACAAGAATGGCACAATTACGCAGAAAACAAACACTTTGTGTGAATAGGAATACATTGAGTGAATATAAAAAAAAATTTTTTGCATTGTATAAATTCACTTTTTTCATTGTATTTGTTATATAGTATTTGTTAAATTTAAACAATGTTTGTAAATCCCAGTCCCTGAAGATGATCTGAATAAAGATGGAAACATTGGCACGATAAAGAAAAAGTTTTTCTGAAACCTACGTCACACCAGACCGCATCTCACGATTTCCGAATAATCATCGACTAACGGTCACTAATCACCACACACTTTTTTTCAATTAAACCAAAAAATTTGGATTTGAAAAAACACTATCCGATTAGTATAAAACAATTAGGTACGAATTTTTACAGCAATAAAAAAATACTTTGTTTGGCTAGATTAGTCAGGGGCTATTTTAAATCGATGTTCCAGACTTAAAACTTTACAACTCCACTGGATTTTATCCAAATTCAATGCTTTTACAAAAGTAAAAAAGCTGAACCCTTCTGCTTTTAGCTATGTCGACAAAGTTTAAAATTACAAAAGAAAAAGTAAGTAATACGTACTAAATGATATTAGATACGTCCAGCTTTTCCACTCTTGTAAAAACGTTGAATTTGGATAAAATCCAGAGTAGTTAAGCATTTTTAAGTCCAGAACACCGGATATCAAGAAAAAAGTTCCTCCCGGTTAATCAGGCTTAAAAAATTTATATTTTTGTTTACTATAAAAATCGTAAATTAAAGGCTTTAAATGGTGTTTTTAAACGTCTTGGAAGTTTAGTTTCATTAAAATCGATGATCTCACGTCACAAGGCTTCCCTTGTGAGTTGAAAAAATTATCTAAAACTATAAAACGTGAAGGCCACACAAACCTATTTTATCTTTTGTCTTTTCAAGCGTGCCGTCGTCCTCCAAATTACCGAGGTACTTTTATCTCTTACTCGAAAGATTCTAAACAGTTTTTGTTGCTTAGCACTTATTTGGGGAGGGACGCTTTGTCCGTTGTTGTTCAAATAAGGGCCCGCAGGTAATCAGTTTTCTTCAAGTCTCTTTTTTTCAATTAATCTTCTTTTACCTGTATCTTTAAATAAATTAATGTTGCAATCGTATAATGAATTTACCGATTTTTTTTTTAAATATACCGCGGTTTAAAGTTGAATCGAAAGTTGTCCTATTTTTTATTGCGTTAAATGTGGGCCTGTTTGAGCTAAAGTTCGTTAAGTTAAAATGCAAAAGTTTAAATGGGAAGAGGGTCATAGGCTATAACACATAAACAAAGAAACATTGTGGAGGCATATTTTTTTTAGAACTCTCTCAGTTTACAAACACCTAAAAGTTTCGCATGTATTTAAACTCTTCTAAAAGTTTCTTGATTCACATGTTGAACTGAATACTTATCTTCTGAAAAACTTTGTTTTCTTTAACACTTCAAACCTGACGAACACATTTTTAGAAAACGTTAGACATTCCTGCTGAATTTTAATGATAATGTATTAACATCTACGTAGAGAATATTGGAGTTATTTGTATTTATATAAGCTCAGATCTGCACATGTGTGTACTTGTATATATACATGAACAGAGTTGAGCCTCACTTCTCGCAGAATCGCCCACCCCGGGTGATCGCAGTCCAGGGTCAGACCACCGTTCCTTCCAGCCAATGGGGTTGGGCACCGGGTGCTGTCGACGGTCAGTCGAGCAACTAACGCATGCAGTTCCTAGATCTAAGTCCATTCACACTGTCAGACATTCTTAAACATATTCTTTCCTACTTACAAACACTTCACTCAATAAGGGTGTACTCGACATTCCTCCAACACCCTCCATACATATTATATAACTAACCTAATTGAAGGTCGATGGGGTACTGAACATTCCGCCATGGATCCTCTCACACTGCACNTTTGGCGTTATGAACTATGCATATTAGCCATGTGACAAATTCGTATATGTGTGTTCAAATTTGGGGGGTTATTGGGAAAAAAGGGCCAGGGGCAACGGTGGGAATCGAACCCACGACCGCGGCGTGAGAGTCTCTCATGCTAACCACTCGGCTACCGCGGTCCCCCACACTGCACATTCACGCCAATAAATACGTTAACTCTCAAATGTGGTGGTACACAAAACTATCAGTACTATATATAATAAAACAACCCTGTTTCCTCCAAAAATCGGAGACCCAAATATTCGCTGCCGAGCTCGAGCACAATTCTATGTGTGGGGACACATCGAGCAACCTTTCTCCGCATGCCGAATACATACTCGAGTTTGGGCCCAAATGTAAGTTTCCATGTGTCAACTGCGTTCCAATTCTAAATCGGGTTAGGATGAACCTAGTTCTCTGATGTTGGAGTTATGGTTTATACTTCTACAGTCACTGGCACATAAAATCGTCTGGACGTTTAAGAAGAGTGTTTAAAGAAATCAATTATGTAGGAAATATAAAAAAGAAATAATTTTACATACCCTATAGGTTAATTACAAAATATATTCAAAATGCATTATAAGAACGTTTATTTGATTTATGTTCTTTCGCTACGAGGAAAACCTTCAGAATTTAGAAAAAGTAAGACTTTATTTTAGCGTAAGAGATAAGATGTAATTTTCAAACTTCTTTCTTTTAGTGCTTCGAAAACATAATAAATATAAAATGGAGCCGGGTTGGGTCCAAACAGATTGTGTATGGGTCCCTGGGATGTTGTGATCGGATTTATAGCACCCGTGGGGTTCTGAAAATCACTTGGACTGTATTGGTCTCTTTCCACTCTGAAGAAGGCCTGCATTAATATTTCTTCTTACTTCTACCTACATGGAGAAACTCATTTAGTAGCTCGTTTATTCAATGCTTTATTTTCTCGGTTGAAGTACGACCTGAGGAAACTCGGAAGAGAAGGAATTTCATCTTTCACAGGATATCACAAAAGCGACATATCTCGCCAATTCCACCTTACACTTTTGCGAAAATCCTCTTTTCGCGAAAAAGTTGGATTTTTTTTTAACATAGCCCCTACCTAAACCAACATTTATTAATAATTTATATTTTATTACTTCAACCTACATTGTGTAATGTAACAACCTTTTGCTGATAAAAGTTATATTAATAGATATATTAATTAATCAAAATTTGCCTATCAAAATATTAGTGCTATGTATGAAATGTCAGTAATTGGGGTAATATTATAAAGCTGGAATCAGTACGATAAATACCTCTTTAACCAATCAAAATATTCTCCATTAGTTGAAATACACTTCTCCCAACGTGCAGTAAGATTTTTTATCCCCTCCTCGTAGAAGTTTGGGGTTCAGATGTAAGGAATTCTTCGATTTCTGTTTTGAGAGCATCTCCAGTTTGAAAAATTTTGTTCCTTAGAAAACGGTTCAGGGCACAAAAAAAGGTGGAAGTCAGTTGGCGATAGGTCAGGTGAATATGGTGGTTGTGAAAGAATTTCAATTTTTAGCTTTTGGAGTTTTTGCATTGTCAATCTAGAAACGCGAGGGCGAGCATTGTCGTGGAGGAGTATAGGTCCCTTTCTATTGACCAAATATGGATGTTTTTCTCGGAGTTTCTGATTTAAAAAAGTCGAACTCTTGGCAATACGAGTTCGCTGTGATAGTTTCACCAGGGTTTAAAAAATTCACATGGATCAAACCACCCATTCCCCATCAATCAGTCAGCATAATTTTTTTGGGATCACAGGTAGTACTTTGCCATCTGCTTCGGCGATCTTTATAATTGAGCTAACCTAGTCTGAGTTTGTCTTTCTGTGGTTCAGGCAATTCGTGTGGTACCCATTTATTCAATTTTTTTCGTTTTCCCGTTTTCTTTTAAATGCCTTGAAACGGTCGTAGCATCTACTCCCAGTTCTTTGGCATATTCCCTACTGCTTTTTCAAGAAGGGACAAGACTCAACCACTGACCTCAGGTGGTGATTATCCAGTTTGGCTTCCGGCCTACCTCGTTCTTCGTTGTCAAGTTCAAAATTTCCACCCCGAAACCGTCAAAACAATCCTGGCATTCTCATAATCCTCCTCAAAACCTTATTCATGTTACCACACCCCTCAGCAGAGATACGGCCAAGTTTAAAT